AACGGTACCGAACCTACGTTACGTTAACGTAAAGGTACGTACGACGGTAAGTACGTACGTAAGTACGTAACGTACGACGTACGACAGTATATCTCTCTCTCTCTCTCTCTCTCTCTCTCTCTCTCTCCCTCTGACACCCGCCGGTGCATACATGCACAAGTGCACCAACAGGTGATGGTACCTGCACACGTCTTGTAATATTGGAGTGAACCTCACAAGGTAAAAACAATCATATTTCACTCAAAAAGCAATTATAAGTTCAATTTCTAACAAAATCCTAAATACATTAACTACTGGTAACAATTACAATCTAGACTTCTATGTAACCAGGGGAAGAGGAGCCATTTGTAGGCACTCCAACACCAGCTTCCCAAAGTAAAAATACATAATGGAGCAGAGGGGATTCCTTAAACAGTTCAGCACCTTAAAGCTCCCTGGAACAGCAAGAAAGGGGGTAGAAGGACAGTTGTGGACTCACCAAATTCAGCTACCTTATGTAAAGGGGAAAACATGAGGCATTTGTTCCGCCCTCCCCCACCACCAAAACATCACAGGAGGTGCTGGAAGGGTTGTTAAATTCATCCATCTTATGTAACTAGGGAAAAGCAGGGCACCTATAGACACTCCAATATAGCATCTCTACAGTATCATAGGAGATCAAGGGACAATCACAGTCACAGACAAAGGATGTACCCGTCTTCGCAGCAATGTGGAATTTTGCGACAAATTACTTGACAATCCCCCCAAAGAAGCATCTCATGGCTTCCAAGGAGGAGGTGGAGGAGGAGACACAGGAAACAATGGAGGAATCCCTGAGAAAATTTTGTTGGTGTCGATGCCTCCTCCTCCACTACCTGTAAGCGAGATGAGAGCTGCCACAAGGCCAGCGTTTCCAGCTAGAGTTGGCTCTGTGTAGTTGTAATTAGAGCGTACATCTCTAAACTGATCAAATCGATCAGGCCCTCCAACCATGGCCCCTGTGATAGTGTTTGGGTTCGGGTTGTTTGAATCTCTCCATTTCCAACCTCCAGTGCATGTGGTTTTCTGGTTGTTTGGGATGGAGGCCCCCCGATGGTGCACGTGCTTCGGGTAGTTCGAGCCATAGCCTACTACATAGCTCATCTTCCTCGGGTTGTCCCCTAAAATATAATTAATCTACAATAGAAGTAAAAAGAGGAAGAGAAAAGGATTAGTTGTGCTTAACAAAGAGAATATGTTGGCATGCTATTCCAAAATTTCAATCCTTTCTTCATGTACTTCCAATGCAATGTTATCTTGAACCCTATATTATTCTTTAATATTTATCATACATCTTTTTGGGCTAAGACAATTTGTGGCTTGGCTCTGAAACCTGAATATGAATTGGGAGAAAGTTGAATTTACCTGAGATTGGGCAAATTGTCGAAGAACAATCGCAGAGAAATAATATGGCCCGCAAAACCACCCTGGGACGCCGGTTGCATTCATGTAGTCTGCATAGAGGTTTGCTAAGAAAGCCGCATTTGCCGCATATTGTAAGGTTTGCGGCCGGCCATGATTGAGTTGGATCAAACCACCTGCAAGATCCACACCCATCTACAGTTAAAAACGTTTTAAAATAAAAAATAAAATAAATAAAAATTTTCACACACTATATCAAGAGATTAGGCTATCTCCTCGCATTGAGCCAAGAAAATCATGAACATAACCTAGCTTGATATCTAGACTCCCATTTTCCTTTCATGCCAAGCATTAACTAGTGTCATTTTCTATCATTTTGAAGGATGCATAATAGAGTGGTTAATAAAGGACATTAAAATATGTTAGCTACTACACACCTAAGATCTTCCTTTTCTTTGTGAAGGTCATGGGCACCTGTTATCTACGTGCTTTTAATCTTGTCTTTGCTAGTCAGGGATATGAATATTTGTAAGCTACCATGTACTATAACAGGAGAACTAAGCATAGTATTTATCTTTTGAGAAAACGGCACATTTTAAGCATGAATATTGTTTTATATTAATCCGTCGCATGCCCGGGTAAAGCGGTTGGGTTGTGTTATGTAGGCAACCAGCGTAAAATTTTACCAAAAATTTATCTTATCATTATTATTTGATATCTATAAATTTTATTTTCCACTTCAAAATCCTATAGTAGCTGTACTAGGTGCAACAAATGTTCTAAACAATTATGGTTAGATGCCATATCTTTTACCAATATTTCTTATTTCCCCCCTAATAGACATTGAAAGGAACAAAGATGGGACAATCAATTTGGGTCATGTCCGAAGGGGCTGATTCCAAAATGATCTGATGGTTTGGTTCCAGATCCTGAATCTAAGTGGGTCGGGTCAAGTGATTCATCTATAGGGGCCTTTATGTGTTTTGGGACCCAGTTGTGCACTCCCTTGAAGGATCAAATTTTGGTCGGATGCATCTGATTTTAATAACACCACATTTATCCAAAGCATAGTTAAGTCAAATTAATTGAAAAAAAGCTATGATGATTTTTCCGAAAGACCAAATCTAATTCAGGTCTACTAAACTCCATCCCAAGTAGGCAGATCTTGACTAGCGGAGCTCTAGACTAGTATAGCTCCACATACACTTGGTCCGGTGACAATGGGTGTGGTAACAACGTTGGGTCGACCCAACCCACCCTAAACCCGACTCCTTTGCATCTCTAAACAGTGAAAGAGGCCACCCACCTTGTGTGAAGTTGAAGACATTGAACCTTTTAAGGTAAGAGCACATGTACAAGCCAGTGATGTTACTGTAGCTCTTCAGCATCTCCTCATATGGGTACCCCGGATTCAAGAACATCCTCAGCCTCAACAGAAGCAGCTGCGCCGCGGGAATCTTGTTATCCCAGCTCAGGACACCCTTGTCAGGCCCCCCATCGGCGTTGTGTGCATTCCTCGCGATTCCTGGGTTCGTCGCGAGTGCCAAATACGATGAGTTACCGGTCGCGTAGTAAAGCCAAGCTGCACCCCACATGTGTTCATCAAAGTAATCGGTCGAGTTGTAGAAGGGCTCTATGTCGGGGTTCCCGGCGCTATATCGGTTTCGATGCCCTTGGTCCCGTGCGAACTTGAAGACAGTCTCGGCGGCATGAGAGAGGCGCTCAGAGTATACGGGGTCATCACGGAAGACAATGGAGGCAGCAGAAAGGGCCGCAGCCATCTCAGCGCCAAGGTCCGGAGCAGAGCTGGAAGCGAGGCTGCGGCGAGGGTAATCCATGTCCTCGGGGCGCTCCCAGCAGTAGTGGTCGTCCGGCGTGGTGGAGCCATTGCGTGCACTGCCAACCTGTCAAGGTAGTCGTCAGCGTAATAGAGTGTAGAGAGTTTTTGTGTGTATGTGTGTGTGAGACAGAGCGGGGGGATTTGAGTTTCTCAAAGTGTTTTTTTTGTGTGTGTGTGTGAAAAAGAATGAGAGAATTGAAAATTTGAAAGTGCGTGTTCTATGAGAGAAAAAAAGAGTAGGACTTGGTTCAAGACAACAGCAGCTGGATTTTTATAGCACTACGTCTCAAGTTCCATTCTTATGTAATCTTGTCAGAAAGAGAGAGATGGAAAGACTACGTCTCAAGTTCCATTCTCATGTAATCTTGCCAGAAAGAGAGAGATGGAAAGACTGCTGCTTTGGAGATAAACCCATTATTTTCACACATTTTTCCCATAAAATTTATCATGATACATGGAATTTCTAACACCTCCCTTGCTGATAGAAAAGAAAGATAACGGTAATTATATGGGGAAAATATACAAGATTCTCATCAGAAGGTTAAAATCACTTTTAGCTGTCAAATGTAAAATTGAACGGCTAAAGACATATGTTGTTCCCTCATTTAAGATCCGAAATTTTTTTCTAAATTCTATACAAAAAAAAAACCTCAAATAATATGGCATTAATAACTAAAAGTGATTGTAAGCTTATTCCAAAGTTTCATGGTATATTGTCCCATATTATATGTTTCGAATGCTACAATCCCATTTATATTAGTTGATGATTGGTACAAAATCCCCTCATTATCATGTCATGACGTGATGGGACAAAGAAAATACTTCATCTACTCTCATATTGACAATTAAGAGTGAATACTTCATCGACTCTCATATTGACAATTAAGAGTGATTGTAACCTTATTTCAAAATCGTACATTGTACCATATTATATGTTTCCAACGCTAAAATCCCATTTATATTAGTTGATGCTTGGTACAAAATCCCCTCGTTATCATTGCATGACGTGATGGGAGAAGCAACCACATAATTTCAAAGAAAGCCCAGCATTTTTTTCCAAAAAAATAAAACATAATTTTGTAACCTAGCAAACAGTGCTTTAACACACCTGACTATAGATGTGGTTGATGTTATTGGAGGATGAGTTGAAGGTCTGGAGTATGTAGTCTGTGCCCCACCGAATGAGCTCACGCACATGATCGTACTCCCCAATCGCCTTGTACTTGTGAGCATATTCGACCACGGTCCACCCGAGCATGCTCATCGAGAAGGCCATTGGGAAACCAAACTTTATGTTATCTCCGGCATCATAGTAGCCTCCGACCAGACCACCCTTCACGTCTTTCGCATCTGATCCATCCTGTAGTCCGGAGTCGTGGCGCCATGGTACACCGTTGCTCCTTGGTAGGCGCCCCGCTGCAATTTCAAGAAATTTTACTTGGGATTGTCTAAATTACCAATGCCTTGTATTAATCAAGACCAAACCAAATTGGTGGTCCGACTAGTTGGATCACCAACTCATGTCTTGGTCATTCTGATCCAAGATACAAATTGGATTTAATAAAAAAATCAATCAAATTTGATTTTGATTGGTTGCACCTCAGTTTGACTAGCTAAATAAAATTTGAAAAAAAAATTTATATATATTTTTAGTATATCTATTTTTTTTTCTTTTTAAAAACTTGATCTAACCACATTGACCAATAGTTTGATCGATTTTAACTAGATAAAACCCCTCACCATTTCAATAACATCGCTCTTGAGTTTAACAATTGTGTGATTATAGACGAGGCAAGACCTCGGTAACATCACCTAGTGAGTGGTATAAGGTAATTTTGGTGATTAAGACGAGGGTGGGTGATTATGGTACATTTTTGTCATCGTGAAGTGTTGAATGGACCATGAGGGTAGTTTTGGTACTCTCCATTGTAGGGTGTAATTATAGTACAAAATACCAATAGTACTCCATGCTCCTAAACCATGGACATTCTTTTTGTTTGAGGGTATTTCGGGTATTTCGATAATGTGCACGCCAAGTCCAAGTCAACTCTTTGGCTTTATTTTCCTTGTTGTTTTTCAATAAAGTGAAAAGATAAAAGGGTTTTTTTTTTAAAATCAACTCCACGCGAAAGAGGAATAGGTCTATAGGACCCTTTCCCACTGTGTAGGATCGCAAAAAGTCACCATTAAATTTGATATGAATCTATAAAAAAAAGTCAAATTTCACATTTATAGGATACTTTTTTTAAAGATTCATATTAACTTTAATGGTGATCTTTTGGGGTCTTACACACATGGATAAAAAAAAGTCCAACAGGATCATTACTCCTACGTAAAAATAGGGATTTTGTTTTAGTAGGCAATGATCGCATTCACCCGGGCATTGGATATTTAGTGCCATTTGTGCTGTGGGAAAAATGTTTTTCAACTTCAAGCACCAATCAGTTACGTTATCGGCAGTAATGTCAAATTCGCTCAAACCTTCAGATTTTAAGCTTAGATCGAAGTAAAACGAAACCTGATGTTGTCGTTTTGGTCAGATTCATGCCACTTCAATTAAATTTGAGTATTTTTTGGGCCAATTCGGCCTAAGCTTCGGCCTCTTTGGCCTAAGCAAAAAAGATCTATATAAAAATATTAATTTTTGTTTGAAATTTTTATTTTTAATTTTTCATTATTTTTTATATATTTTTATTAATAAATATCCAATTTATTCATATTAAACTAAAAACAATATTCAAAGACTTCCCTCGAATCGGCCAAAGCACCGAATTGTTTCATTTTTCTCACCAAACCAAAGAAGGCTCCTACATAAATCTTACAACAATGGTTCCTGTTCACCAATTTATATTTCATAAGCAAGGGTAACTGTGACATTAAAGGGTTTTAATATATGGGGTTAATATTTTAAATACCTCTACAATGCCTTCATTGAGGTATGTTTAACATATGAGATTGTATACAATGAGACTATTTACCTTTGATACAAGGAGGTCACAATTACCTGTAACTATCCGATATGTAATTTAATAGCTTGGATGAAAGGTCGAGAATTTTTTTTTTTGAACTTTGAACTTGATCAATGAAATAAATGCAGCTACCTAATTTCATATTTAATGGTCAAGATTAATTGTGACCACCTTGTACCAAACTTATAGTGGTCTCATTGTATATTTTTCCCTATTTGAAATAATTGATAAACGTTTTTGGGCAATTAGTCATGAAAAAATAAAGTAGATCTAAATATATAACATACTGCATGAAATTTTGAAATCACAATTTCCTCTAAAAAAATCATTTCACAAACTAGAATTACAAAAGACATTGACAAGGGAGAGGGAAGCAAAGAATGAAGAAGATTAATATTGTGCTCAGATTTTGGGGTGTTAAAGAATGAAAAAGATTAAATATTGAGCGGTTTTTGAAAAAGGATGATAAAACCTAATGAAAAAAGAACTACTCCCTAATAGATATGGATTAAATTTAGGAAAATTATTTCATGCGGGGCTAGACCGCATTTCTACAATTTGCGGTCCCAAGTTATAAAGCATCTATCTTAAAGATTGATGCAAATAGGTGGTCCATCTAAAAACAATTGAAATTAGTGGTCCAAATGTTTTCTTCATAAAATCATTATTTTTATTTTTTAAAATTTATATATATTTTTTATGATCATGTTCTCCATGATAGAGATCACATGTCCTTAAAAATTGAGTGCCAAAATCCACTATAAAAATAGATTTTTAAGAGTCCACCCATTTATACATGGACTCAAGAAAACATGTCCTTCAATTTATAGAACTAGTGCCAATCCTATAATTTTTTTAAAAAGTAATTTTGGATTGTCAAATCCGAGTGTCTAGTGAAAGTACCAAAATTTTGTAAGGGAAAGTCATCCAGGCTCCTGGGTAAGTCCTTCGTAGGATTAAGCCTACAGTATTAATCCTAGAGTATGGAGTACTTATAATCACAAAAAGTAAGCATAACAATAAAAATAAAAATAAAAATAAAAACTATTGAAAAAAAATATATATTTATACGTGAATTTCCCCCAAGAAAAAATTCCAAAGGAGACATATGATAAAAATCCATATAAAAAATAAAAATTGTGAGCTTATATTTTTGGGTGTTGAAGAACATTACTTATGATATAAAAAATTGCGATAAATAAATAAATGAATAAGGAGTATTATGAGCTTACATTTTTTGGGCATTGAAGAACATTACATATGATAAAAAAGTGCGCAGAAAAACATAAATAAATAAAAAATATATGGAATATTTGTGAGCTTACATTTTTGGGTGTTGAAGAACATTATTATGATAAAAATTTGCAAATAAATAAAAAAACATGTGAGGAACTTTGTGAGCTTACATTTTTGGGAGTCGAAGAACGCTAATATGATAAAAATTTGTGCAAAAATAAACAAATGAATGAATTTTGTGAGCTAACATTGTTTGAGAATTGAAGAACATTACTTGGGGTCAACTAATTGTGCCAATAAATCAATAAGGAGTTTTGTGAGCTTCAATGTTTGGTTGGAGTGATGAAGATCATCACTTATGACAAAAAATTAAAGCAAATAAATAAAGGATAATTTATCAAAATACTAATCAAAGATTATTAATTTAGCATTTTACTCGTATTATTTGATTCAATTTTAGAATATTCATAAAAATACTGATGATCATTTAGAATGGTTGCAAATGTCTAACGCGTAAAATAATTCATCTCTCGGAAATGCCTAATGCGTAAAATAATTCATCTCTTACAGGTATTTTGATAAATTTCATAGGATAATTTATGAAAATAAATATTTTTTTTTGAAAAATTTATGAAAATAAATATTAACAAGAAAATTTGTGATCTTACATTTTTGAGCATTGAAGAACATGAGGGCCTTGTGGAGAGCAAGTGTGTAATTATCAGGCTTGGGGGGCTTGGGATGGTGCTTGGGCAAAGATTTGACGATCACGATCGGAAGCACGATCACGACGAGCGCGATCACCACCGTCCATACGCTGTACCGGAAGGCCTTCCGGCTGCAGACGACGCAGCCGAGGTCGATGTACTTGTTCTTCTTGGGCTCGCTCGGCCCGAGCAGCCAGCTCTGCTGGGTCTCGTCGAGGTTCTGGCTATGACTGTGATGGGAGAGAGCCGCTCGGTCTATGTCCATGTTCCGGCTCCTTTCGTCATCCGTGGCAGAGTCGCCATGGATCTCGAAGGAGCCACCCCAGTGGTTGCCTCCATGCATCTTTCTCTCTCTACAATTCTCTCTCGGGCCGTGGGTGCTCCCAAACTCTCGTGCTCTGGAATACTCTCTCTCTCTCTAGATTTTTAGAGGGAATTGTGTATGAGAGAAGGGGGTGAGGGCTCAACCCCCGTCTCTCTCTCTAAAAGGATGAATTCTCAGCCCTCCCTCCTCTATATCTCTCTCTCTCTCTCTAGAATGATGGATCTTCTGCAACTCATCTCTTCTCTCTCGTTTAGGGAGAGGACACGGGTCCTGAGAAACCTCTACCGAAAATGGGAAATGGGTTCTCTCTCTCTCTCTCTCTAGAGTCTAGAGAGAGAATATATGAGATTTGATTGTGTGAAATCGCTATCCCGAAATGGGATATTGGGTTCTCTAAGGAGCGTGGCACTCAATTCACATTCATTGTATCCTCCTCAAATGGCAACTTTCTCAGGGGCCGTCAGAGAAGCTCAAACCCCACCATGTCAGATATACTTCTCATTCCCCTCTCTCTCTCTCTCTATTTTCTCTCATATCCTCTCTCTCTTTATTTTCTCTCTCATCCTCTCTCTTTATTTTCTCTCTCATCCTCTCTGTCTTCTTTCTCTAACTTCTTGGTTGGTATTGGAAAACCTCCTCCTTCTTCTCTGCTCATTTGCTACTGGTTCACTTTCTCTTCTCTCTCTCTAAGAATTTCGAATCTGGCTGGGAAGTCTTCTTGTGGGGCAGGGTTGACTGAGATGAGAGCCAGAGAGGTCTGTCTTGGTTTCCATTTCTAGAGAGAGAGAGGTTTGTTTTGTTTTCAATTTCTAGAGAGAGAGAGGAGTATGTCTTGTTTACCATTTCTAGAGAGAGGGTTTGATTTGTTTTCAATTTCTAGAGAGAGAGAGAGGTTTGTTTTGTATTTCGATGTGTAAACCCAGCTGGCTAACCAAGTCAGCCGCTTCACCACGAAAAGTCTACTATATTAAATACCGCACTTTCATATTAGGGTGCGGTTCGGATAGAGCCTAGGCTCTAAACAATCAAATTAGACCTTACTTTTTAAATCTTGTCGAGAAACACTTTTTTAATACTGGAAATCATTGTGTTAGCTTTAAAATGTATTTTTATTTTTATCCATAGAGTTTAATGTTTCAAAAATAGTGTAGATCGACAAATCTATAAAAACTTGAAAATTGATCATCCAAATATACATTGTAAAATATACTATTTTCAGAACTTGAAATCCATTTTTTTTTTCATGTACATGCATTTGATGTCGAGATGATCAATTTGAGGATATTTGGACATCAAAACAACATCTTTTAACTAAATTTTTGAAGTAGGCTCTAACTTGATTGTTGAGAGCCTCAACTCTATATAAATTTTTTCCTTCATATTAAACCATGCTGTAAGTTCTTTCAAGAGAAATAAAAAATATATTTATATATAAAAAACACATTTTAATTTAGGGATTGTATATAATGAGACCATTTATCTTTCACACTAGGTAGTCACATTTACGTACAACCATCCAATGTAAAATTTAATAGTTTAGGTATGTCACAAAATTCGAAAAACCAAAATTTGAAGTTTGAGCTTGATCAATGGAATAAATGTTGTCACCCAATTTCATGTCCAATGGTCAAGATTAATTGGAACCACCTTGTAACAAAGGTATATGGTTTCATTCTATACTTTTCTTTTAATTTATCAAAATGGATGTAAGACCGTGTGACAAAAAATTTCTTTGAACATTGGGTCTAATGATACTTACAACCACCCGATTCAAAATATGAAGGATAATAGTGATTGTGACCTTTTTAGATCTCCTTAAATTAAGTATTGCTAAAAATAGACCTTGTTCAAAGTGGATACAACCGGACCGGATATTTTAAGCTGAATTTTGATTGAAGCTCTTTGGGTAACCCGGGTCGAGATGATTTTCATGGGGTTTTATGGGACTGACACGATAGTGTAATCTTTGCTCATGCTGGTCCTTATAAGGTAACTTCGATAAACCACGCCAAACTTCTAGCTCTATTCCATGGCCTAAAGATTCTGGTTGATAGGAATTTTAGATCGGGGTGTATAGCTAAAAGGTACTCGCTGAATGTCATTAAGTGGTGTAAGAAGCATCAAATTCCTTGGCACCTTAAATTGATTTGGCTACAAATTTTAGATATGATGGATTCCTTGTCGATAACTTTTGCGCACGTTTAAGGGGATGCCAATGAAGTGGTTGATCTTGTGGTTAAGAAGGGAGTGTCCTTGAGCTCTTTAACTATTTCTGTTGATGTTAACTCTCTAATGTAATCCGCCCCCATCTTTGAATAAAATTTCTGAATTTTGTCAAAAAAAAAAAAAAAAAAATGATTGTGACTTTTTTATACTAAAAGTAAATAGTCTTTTTATATATATATTTTTTAATATTTTACTTATTTTTGTTTTGTTTTAGGACCAAATCATATTTGCAATGTCCATTAACAAAGGCATGGGTATTATTTGATTTATTTTTGTGTATTATTTTTGTGTGTGTCTGGGTCAGGAGCACATGCGCCCAGTATTTTGAGATCCCTTGATTTTATAAAAAAAAATTAATAATCAAATAGTGAGTAGTTGTGGGCTGGATACATTTTCAACTATCGGGCTTGCATTATCGGTCTTGGCTCACATTGTCTTTCTCCATATACACACACATGTAGACATATATGCTTAACCTACATAATTGTGTATTGCCTGCATGGCTTATATTCAATGTCGGCATATATAGTAACCAATGAATTTGGGTACATTTTATTTTTAATACTTTTTGCTCTCTTTTTGAGCTGTAATTTTAAGAATAAGTATGTTAAACTTGAATCATCATCATCAGAATTTTTTTTTTAAGTATTTGGAGTCAGCAACACGTTGAACCTAAATGCACCCAAATAATATTTTAGAAATTCATAGAAATGAAAATAAAAAGATGAAAATGTGCTCACGACTGTCAATGAACATAGGCCATGGAATGCTTTAAACCGGGCCGCTTCAACCTATAATTGTTTTATAAGTTTATATAAGGTTGAAACCTTATAGTAGTAAGTTTGGAGTATCCTACACCTTTATTTTATGTAACTTTTTTTTTTTATTCAAGTTTATTCGGTTTGGTGGACTTTCATACCCGTGCATTTAAAACTTGTTGAAATCATACCATGCATTTAACTAAAAAAGTTGTTGAAATTAGTCTTAGAATTCAATTAAGAATCTCTCAAACTTTGTAGCACAACGCAAGACGTTGAACCTCACATCCAATGGCTATAAGTAATTATGATCTCATTGTACCCAGTGTTTAAAAAAAATAGATTAGTGACCGGTTTGAATCGGCGATCTGGACCAGCGAACCAACCGAGTGAATCAGTCAATAAAAGATATAAAAATAGAGAATAATATAAAAATAATAAATAATAATAATACAATAGGGTTAGATCAAAACCAGCATGGTTTGTCACACAACCGGCCAATTTCTAGCAATAATCAGACAATTCCAAAATATGTTGGGAGCAAGACAAGTCTCGGGGTGGGCATTTTTTCAAAACCCTGCTTGTATCAAAATATATCGTCTCAAAGTGTACAATCTAGTGATTCAAAAGTCGGCGAGTCAAACCGGACTCATCCGATTCGATTCAGGAACCGGCAGACCCGATCCGATTCTAGTGAAATACCGGAAATCGTCCAGTTCTAGAGAAAAACCGACGATTTCAAACCGTAAATCGCCATGTGACGTCATGATTCTCCCGATTCTTCGATTCATGACGTCATGGCCCGCCGATTCTTCAATGGGCATTTTTGTAAATTTTTAAAAGTACATGTACCTTAAGGTCCACACACCTCGTCACGTGACTCTCCTCACTTCGCACGCGTAATCCTCGTTAACTACAAAGAGATATTTATTCACTACAACCTCCTACCTCTTCGATGTGCGATAATGTGAAGGTATTAACTTGAAACATTAATATATGATATATTTTGTTTGCGCTTTTAATACTACTAAGTAGCATGTGGCTTACTAGTTATAACTTTCTTTCTATCGACTATTTTTCCTGTCAAATTTTTTTCTTGTCAATTTTATTTTTTTGAGGTCAAATTTTTTTCTTATAATTTTTTTTCTTGTCAATTTTATTTTTTTGAGGTCAAATTCTTGTCTTATAAAAAAAAAGAAATTTTTTTTTATCAATTTCGTTTTTTGTCAAAATTTTTTATTATAAAAAAAATGAAAGGTTTTTTTATCAATTTCGAATTTTGTCAAATT